TGATGATGCACTGGCAATCATTGCTTTTCAACACCCAACTACATAATATATTCTCCTGTGCACGTAAAAAACATTACCTTACTACTGTAATTTCAAGAATGTACTGTGTGTGACATTGTGAATCGTGTTCCGAACCAAAGTGTAAACACCCTATGGGATTTGAAAAAGCGAAGTCTTTGTAAGTTATATCCCATAATAAAAATTTGAATTTGAATTTGAATTTGGGTCCAGATTTGGCGAGTCAAAGGCTATGGTTATGTATACCTCAAGAACAGTAACCTACCTAGATCTGAACAACCTGGTAGTATCGTGCAAATGAGCAAATCATGGTTACTTTCCCTCTCTATAAAGATCGTTTGTTTGGTGATTTTCGATTTCTGTGCATGCATATAGTTCCATTGCTTCATCGTTATGTCCCTCACCTTTAAACAAGTAAATCCCTTCTGACCCTCTCTCCTATCTGATTGGATCACCTTTCGCCATTTGCGCCGCTTGGAATCCCTCAACCTGACACGAGACTGTCTGTACTCTTTTTAATCCTCTCGTTGTCACACCTAGTCTATCCGTGTGGTGATGGAACGCCTGCTGTGCAGTCGAAGTTCACTGTGCTTGCTAAATACTGGAGACTGTAAACAAGGTGTGGTTTCTCGCTCGGGTTAGCTGGGCAAGCACCTGGTCCCTTGCTGAAGCTGAACCGTCCAACCGATCGATAAGTGAACCCGATAGATCGTGTGATTTTCGGGTTGGCCTAAGAGGATAGGTTCTGAAACCAATGCCGTTTAAGTGTTGGTAGAGAATCATCACAGGAGATTCGGATGTGGAGCGACGCGTCACATAGGAAATTGTGAATGGAAAAGGTTCAAGCAATGTTAAAACTGAGCCAACGCTTGACTCATCTAAGCTACACGTACTATTTTTCTAAGTGGGTTCGTTAAACGGATAATCATAGTAAAACCTTCAACTTGTCTTAATTACGGACTATAATATCCACTAATGTAGGTCTACGCAAAACTCTCCTTGGCATTTTACCAACTGGCTGTTTTCGCTCTTATGTATGGTGAGAATACACAGAACCGATAGTAACCAAGGCCGATTAATCACATGGCAGATAAATATTGACAACCACCTTTTCTTAACCTATTAGCAAGTCATACAACTAATATGACGCCTGGCACCCTGATACCAGACGTTGAAAGTGAAGATCATGACAAAATCCATAAGTTAAATTAAAATGTCCACATCTCCATAGTGCTGCTACTCATTACATGAGTGCAATTTCATTGAAACTGATTGATATTTCTCTCTGCCTGAAACACACAGAAGGCCGGTACCAAAGCGTTTGAGCAAGTTACGCTGGCTAGTGCTTGCTGCATTACAGGTATCATCAAGGGTATGCGTGTAACATCGGTAAAGGTAAAAGGATGCTAAGCTATTCACTCAGACCAAAACTCATACCGGCAAAGCGTAAATCCTGTGTGAACATTTATTATGTGTATGGCACTCAGTTTTTATGGTTCAAAAATCATTTGATAAATATCAACCGCATTGGTGACTTTGAAATTTGGTTTTGGACTCTCATTGGTTGAAAATTCCCAAGGAAGCTAATTTTTCAGTTTTACAAATGTTTTGGTTGCTGAAGACACGATTATCTGACTCAGAAGTACTCAGGACTTTGAAATATTGTTCAGACTTTTATTGAACAAGGAATATCTCTGTAGCTGCACTTTGCAAGATGTAACAGTTATCTAGGCGGAACACAGTACGGAAGGTTAACCTTTGGACCTTGGCTTACTTTCCGAAACTAAGAGAGGTAGAATGGGGTCAAAACGGGAAACACATATGAACTGGTAATACAGAGTAATACAGCTTCAAATCTACCGCATATGCTCATTTTCGACTTGCCCTTAGATAAAGTAGTTGAGTAATACAGGAACACCATGAATCTAATTCCGGATACAAACTGTATTCTTTTCCCTTGCAATTAGATAGAGACTTGAAATATGATAGCAATAGTGGTTTGAAATTAGAAATCGCTTGTTTGTCTTCCAGTAGACAGGCTCCGGACAGGTTACTAATTCAGGCTATGGGCGGAGCTTAACCCCTGAATGTGTAATCTGCAGCACGGAAGCTGTTATTTGCGTGTTGTATGACACGCTGCTACCCCCCCCCTTCAAACAACAAATAACATACTGATTCCAATATCAATACAAACTTGGGGAACAATATGGTGCATTTTGCAGCAGAATGTGAACCGCTTGGTTGAATTTGTGAATAGATCGAGAGAGCCAGAGAATTGGTCCAAAGATGCGGTTAGATCATGTTAGACCTTTGATGCGAACTTATAGAGTTCCGATAAATCAGAGCAGGATCGATCAAGTGATCTGAAAACAGCTTTAATTTGTTACCAAGAGGGGAACAGCAAAAACATACATTCAGCCATCAAGAATGAGTTTGTAGTCATCCACAGTGACTCTCTATTTTATACTGCACCCAAATTAACCTCCCAGTCCTGCAAGTTCCTCAGCCAGAAATAAGCGGATAAGCCTAAAATTCTGTGTTGTGTTTCCGTTACTGTATCCCAGCTACTTACTTGATAGATCGATGAGAACAAGAATGTTATCAAATGGTAAACTAAGGGTGCTACCAAGGTAGAAGTAATAAATAAACGAAATCTAAATGTGTTGGTAAAATCAACCCAAATGCGAGCGATTCCATTTACACGAATCAGCTATATATCACTCAGATTATGTAGATATTAATTGGGTTGATGGAAACAAATGAATGGAGTTTATAACATACAGTACTGGTATTCTAGCTGTCCTTAGGTCCACTCGTCTCGAAACTCTTATTGTCATTTGTGACAAGTTTCATTCTTAAACTCACTCGATGAATGATCTTTGTGTCAAAGTGGAACAAGATTCAGCACGTGATGATAGTCTGACTGACATTGGGGAAAAATCTCTTATTATTTACAAACCTTATTCCATCTAACTGTTCTCAAAATACCCCTGTGTGTAATATACTCAATGATGCACCACGTCCTCAGAATATAAAATTTATTTCCCACGGCTGAGATATTCACCGAGTTAGGATAAGCGTTTAGTTTGCATCATATACACACTAAACTACTGTTTTCAGTATCTTAACATCAGCTGCTTTCATCTTTGGGAACAGAAGTTAAAATCGTATAAAACATGAATTGCACAGCCATAGAATCTAAAGTACATTCTTTCATTGTTCAATTACCGGTAAATCGAACTGGACATTCGATTTATTCTCGTTGGAATAATTCAGCTATGCTTTATATTTTTATGTTCCCTCTATGCACAGTTCGATTCTGATTTTCGTAACTTGTTATCCACAAAACAAGCACATATCTAATCCGACATATATGTACTATTCTATCTGATTTGCGCGTACTTTAATGCGTTTACATCGCAACAGTGAAATGCGAAATTGGAGCGTGGACAAACTGAAGTGAGTGGAAAAATCAGCAATCCCCCAAAGGCATTTGATGCACACTTTAGTGTGTGTAAGCATACGTGTGCAATAGCAGACTGCTTCTACGATCCCCTTCAAAAGTTGATAAAACTGAAGGCTAAATCACAAAGATCCGAACTGGGAGGTATTTGCAGCATGAGAACAAAAACACGATAACAAGGTTGAAATCACTGATTATTTTACTTACGTGCAGTTTTGACTGAATCGCATGAACTACTTGGGGCATGTTGTCTGGTACCAGATCCTCTCCAAAAATGCGAGCCAATTCATTTAACCGATAACCTAATTCTATCAGATGAAAAAGTATAGTGACCGGGTCAGAGGCAATCTTTGCAATTAAGTTGTTTATACTACTTGTCAGATGAACTAATTCGTATTCCGCCGGACTATAGTGCAAGTGATCGAGTAAGGTGATCAACATGTTCGGTAGAAGCACCAAATGCTCACTTATCGCCTCACACGCACGAAAATTGCGATCTAACAATTGACGGTCCAATGCGGCCAGATCTTGCATAATCATTGTGATTGTGTCCCGAATGATCAATAGAATTTCCTGTGCTTCCGGAGTGATTTTGTTGGAATTATACACCATTTCTTTCACCGTTCCATGACGAGTAGGCATATAGTGCACGTGACGCGGAGTGACCACGCAAACTGACCGACCGCTTTCTGGTCCAGTGAGACCATCGGACTCTTTCATTTCGGCAGAATATTTCAGTTCGTAGTTTACACAAACTGGTGGAACGCTTTCGTTTGCATTCTCCCCACGCACGAATACCGCATTCTTATCAAAGTGTAAGTTGTTCGAACTTAGGCAGGCGGATTGCGGAGTTAAGATATCGGTGCTCGATCGAAGAAGGTTAGAATTCTGTAAATAAAATCGGCCCATATGTCGTGTCATTTCTTCTGGATCCGACTGAAGGGTGTTATGAGCGTATTTTGGTTCAAAACCCGCATACAGTTTGTGAAGAATGTACTTATAATTAGGCAATAACCAGGTTCGTTTCTTATGACATTGTCTTTCGATTTTTCTACGATAGCGACATTCTAAATTTTGCTTCCCTTTTTGTATTTTTTTACCAGTTATTTCCTTATTATTCGTTCCGTCCGAAACAAACCCCGTCTGAAGTAAACTTCGATGCAAAAACAGTTCCTTTTTCCTCATAAGCCTATCCCAATGAGTCATTGGTTCAAAGTGGCGAAATCTATTCGATTTGCTTCGCACAAATCCATCCAAGTGCTCTAATAGAGATCCTCTGAATCGTGGGCAACCGGTGCCAGTTTGAGGTCGTTCGAACAAAGTAGATCTATTGTAACAAGGCGGCGTGGATCGACATCGATCTATTCGTTTCCGTTCACGTATTAAAGGATCCCAGTGTACTTCGTTCACATCAGAGGCATTTACCGATATTCTGTGCTTTTTCTCACAATGCATATCAGAGTGATGATTGGGAAAATGATCACCGTCATGAGGATTCATGGGCGAAAATTGTGCGGCTGGAAACGATTTATTTACTGGTTGATCACACTGCTGACCCAAATAGTAATCCTTTTCAGTGATGAGTATATCATGTATGGATGAAGTATGTCCGTTATTGTTGCTTTCATAATTCTTCAAAGCATGTCTAGGAAAATTTGGGGAACAGGAATTGCTCAAATCCTCAACTTGGGTGGCATGTTCCGCGGGTACAATTGAAATCTGGGCATCTGGTGTGGAGTATGGTGCATTGGACTCAGAATGTTGGGTGACTTCCGGGTTTTTCATATGAACCGCATTATACCNNCCACTCTTGTGTCATTAGGTGTGGAATTCAGCTCGGAAGTGAATGTGTGGCAAACGGTACGAATCATTTTCCCACCTGGGAAATTGTCTTCGGAAAGCTGAATACCATCTAGCGTGTACTTTTTTATACTCGCGGGTGAATTGGTGTCATTTTGTGACATACTTTCCTGGTCGCAGTGTGCTGGATTTGGCAGACGTTGTAGAGAATGGTTGATGAAAATCTTTGTTTCGGAATTGGTCAAACTCTTACTACCTCCGTGGTCATCGTACGCGATCTCTGTGTCTACGTCTACCTTACATGCGGGTGAATTGGGTAAAAATGCGTTCTGATCAAGCGGTTTCAGCTCAGTTCCACAAACACAGCCGGATGTAGTTGTAGAGAGCACTAAATCATGATAAATTTCGAAATTTAGTCCATGTGATTTAGTTAATCGTTTTGCATTTGTTCCACCTAGATCGGCTTGTGATTCTCCATTCGGTTGTAACTGAATTGGATGGGTTTGTTGCTTCCCAATCCCAGCAGATATTTGTGAATCCGGCCTCTGGAAGTCTGGAGTATACAACGTTAAAATTGGAACTAATGATTCTGACTCTTCTGAGGGTAGTAATTTGCTTGGTTGTGTAGGACACGGGAGATGAGCAATAGTTGGATCTAAAGAAACTATTTGTGCACTGATCTTGGAGTGATCCACTGTTGTTGTCGATAACGGATTTGAGCATACCTCCTTTTCCGAACCAAGCCCGTCAGTTGTTATTGCGCGCAATGCGGAATTGTCATTTGCTGATTCCGTTGGTAGAACTGGTGAGCTGGGTTCACGTGTAATCAGTTCGCCACAAAGCTCCTGATTCGGTTGTTGAATTCCATCAGCGGTGAGGATGTAATTAGGAGAAACGATATTGGGTTCCAGCTTATTTGAGGCTGTTATAAATCCAGAGTCACTCTGTTCTTTCTGAGGAACTACATCTGGTGATGTTTCTTCAGATACCTCTTTAATTTGTATTGCTTCCTTTGAAACTACTGGTTGTTGGATATCCATCGCTGCATGTAGTGGAATTTCTAGTGTATCACTCTCTTTACTTAAATCGGGCCATTTCAGTGTCTCCTGAAGCTGTTTAACATTTTCGGATTCTCCTGGATTAGGATGCATATCTATACTAGTTTGTGTTTCTATCGGCTGTTTCAAGCGTTCCGATTCAGATGAAATTTGAATTTTTGGTCCCGAAATAGGATTGCTCTGGGATTCCAACGGTTCTCTAAAATCAATTATTGGTAGTGAAGTTGTATGTAATGATTGTCGTGTATTACCCGGATCGGTTTGAGTTACTGTTTGTGCTAAAATAGCAGACTGAACCTCAGATCTCTCCGGGTCGTAAGTTACGGGATAAGGAGCATTAGAAGTGTGACCCGAGATTACAATATTCCCTACGACAGACACAGACGGAGAACCTGTTTGATGGGTGACCGAGGCAGGTAGTTCTACAGTTTGTGGGGCAGACTTTTCGATTCCCCTGATAGTTTCACAGGTCGGATCGCGCGTTTCAGAGGATAGTTGATCAGAAACGAGGCTTGCGATAATTTCTTGCGATGGCAAAATATTCTCGTGACCTAAATCAGTTTGTTTTGCCACTGGTTGTTCTCTCAAGCTGCATCCAGTTGGTCGTGTGTTGATTGATTCAGAGTTGCGCTTAGTGTTTATTGGTTCTAAAATGGAGTATTTAGAAAACTCTGTATCTGGCTGATTGAAATTAGACGCATGGGAATCGTTAGATTCAACCGAGCGTGGACGACAAAGGGGTGCACATAACTGTTTATCGAGGGAGTGTGAGCTTTCGGGACGGCTACGAGTTTGTGAACGAACAGGGCTGCTCAGATCTCGTTCCTGATTTTTTGAAGATTTATTCGACTCAAAGGTTTGCGGTGGGGGATGTCGATTCTCTTGATCAGGGGAATTGACTTCTTTAGTTCTGTCCGTAATGGATGTCGTACCCGGCTTCTGTGAACCGAATCTTTCACCAGTGATTGGAGAGTCAATACGTGGATCTTGATTGCCCAAAATTAATCCATCTGATTCTTCAGATGTTACAGTTGATGGCCCTGAGCTTTTGTGCTCAAAACTTAGCCCGGATCTGTCGAACAGAACATCAGAAGATGGAGAGGATAAAGGCTGTGGCGGGACTACTCCAAGGAATTGTTGCTTACGAAAATCATATAGTGCGTAGCCGTCAGAGATGTTCCGTCGGTTCATAGATTCCACCGCACTCAACTCTCGTGCACTGCTTAGTTCACGATGCTCTTCTAGAGTCAACGGTTGATTCAGTTTGTTCACGCTAGACGGGTGAACTAACTTAGACTGTTCTTCCACGGTCTCGCTCTCGGTTTGGTCTGTAGAAATAGGTGCAGAAGATAAATCTGCTATCGGTATCTGATTTGACTGAGCAAGAGAGGGACATATTTTGGCGAAAGCCAAACATGTGCGATCCGGATCGTCGACGCGGCAAAGACAGATCATGGACTCCGGTTGTTTGGAAGGACGCCCGTCTGAAGTAACAGCATCCGGAAAGGTTCCTTTCTCGACAACTGGGACAAGTATAGGAGTGGAAGGTGAAACTTCTGGTGGCAATTTCTGTGGAGTAGGCGATTTTTCGGACATATGTTCTGTTACCGAAACTGCAGGCACATCTTGAATGGGAGTTTCCTCCATTTCCTTTAGGCTTTGAATAGCATTCTCCTCTACAGAAATATTCCTAGAATTTTCTGCTAATTCAGATTTTACCGGATTTTGTACTGGTGATAATGAGTGTGTTTTAATTTTTTTATACATGGTCGGCGTTGAGGGATCACTTTCCTTTTCCGAGAGCTGGGTATTTTCCGTAATGTTCGTTTGTGCAGCAGTAGACAAGTCCATACCACGATCAGAAATTGTGTCACGAGTACCTGGTTGTGCTGTATGTAACATGGTAGAACTTATCTGAGAAATGGGCGGCTCATGTTCCGTAGTAGTAATAGCCCTCAAAGTAGAATCAACGTCCCACACGTTAATTGGTTCTTCTAATGTTTTTCTTTGCTTAGATGATATTCTCCTTTCATTTAACGATGAACGCGATCCGGCCGGGCTGTTACCGGTCGAACCTAATGTCCGATACATGTTTGCACTCGGCACACCCGGATAATTATCCTCACCTTTTCTTGGTGGTATTGGTGGCAAGCCTTCTATATCCTCTTTAGCGGAATCAGCAGACCGATCAGCTTCGAGAACTTGATCTGCTTCAGCATTTGGTTTCAGTTCCCCACCAACTGCCGAATGTGCAGTTGGTATCAAATCTGACATTTTGGATTCTTGTTGTTTTTTCTCTCCTGAAGCTGAAGCCGATGGCTCGGCAGAAATCGTCATTTCTTCGACATCTGGGCTTGGGTGGCCTAATGGATCACGCGGGACAACATCAGCCTCATCCGTCTGTCTTACAGACATTATCAGAGTTGGGGGTTGTGGATTTTTCTCAGTTGATTGTAATACTTCTTGACTTGAATGTGTCATATTTTCATAATCCAAAATTCTGGGTGACGGATGCGATCGTGGCACTTCATTCTCCTCATGTGGCGAGGTGTAACGGTCAGGTAATGCTTCCTGCTGGTCTTCCGTGACTTTGTCATTCTGTCCCGTGGAATGATCGACGTCGCTTAATTTTAAGTGCAACTGGGACCCATCGCTAAATTTCTCCAGTGGGGCTCCTATCCCTGAATCAGGTAATTTCTCTCTGAGGATTTTATTGATTTCGTTTACATCTTGAGCACTACAGGCATGTGAAACTGCAATATTTTGAGAAAAGCCGTCTACCTCGGACTGTCGAGGTTCTACCGTGGACGGGATTGAGGCGAATGATGGTGCATCAGATCGTGTCCTAATAAATTCGTCCTCTTTCTGTTTAGAAGTAGACTGTTTTAAATAAGGAAATTCTGATTTATTTTCGGTTCCCATGAGAATTCCATCAGATTTGTGTAGTTTTTCGTATACTGGTAACTCATTGATTGGTTCTGAGTTTTTCTTCTCTGCAAACATCTGTACTCCACCTTGCGAAGAGAGTTCAGCCTCAAGTCCTGAACTGGTTACTAATCCGAAAAGTTGTTCCGATTTTCGAGGGATCGCATTTGAAACTAATTCTCGTTCGCCCTTTTCAACGGTTTGTGGAGAAATTTTCGACGGTATTTTTGGCGTTTCTGTTCCTTTTCGAGGACTTCGTTTTGGAGGCATTTTTGGGGTGGACGAAGAGGGCTTTGTTGGAGGCGGTTTAACGGGGCTGGGATCTCTTGATTCTCTGGGTGTCGGATATGGCATTACGCGAGGATCCATTTCGCTTGGTGGTTTACGTTGACTAGTCAGAGAGCCATATCTTTCTGGGAGATTAGCACGACCTATATGAATTTCATCCAAGAGGCTTCGACGTTGCCCTAGACTTGTTGGTACCGGAGGGGCACATGGCTTACCTGCAGCAGGCCGATAACCGCAAGCTGGACCGATACATCGTTGTATGTTATGATCCGATGTGCGCATAACAGGGCCATGTAATGACACGTTTGACTGAAATGGATGAAATTCTTCATAATCGCCAGGGAAGGGTCCGTTGCTTCCCCTACCTTGTTGATCTGATAAGGATGACCGAGGATGATAAATATAGGTGGTTGCAAATGGGTCTTGAGTGACCATATCACTGGTGCTGTGACGGTTAGGTACACTTTGAGAACGGGCTGGACGACATGGGCTGCCTTGCATCATCCAACCTCCTGGTTCGGAATCTGGTCGATTTGGATAGAAACACAGCTTGCCAAGACCCGAACATGGCCGATTTGTGGCGCGACATTGCGACAGGCTACAACGGGACTCCATTTGAGGAAGTAAATTGCGATCGCCAGAAAGTGAATCTAATTTGGATTCTGGTGGCTGGTGAGATGACATAAAAGGTGATTTCTGCGCAGTCAAATGTGGATCTAGTTGTTCTGTAGCTTGACGACGAGTGGGATCAGTAAACTGTTCTCTTGTTTCACTGATCATAGAACGCCCTGGGTGATACTCTTTCCGCGGAACTGATGGAGGTCGAGTTGACTTTGTGTGAAGATGATCTGGAGGAAAACCCATTGACGCTCGTCTAGTCCAATAAAAGCTTGAACATGTACGCTCTTTTGTTGTTTGAATTCGTTTTACCAAATCCATTTCTTTATTATAATGTTCTTCATACTGAATTTGACGTTCGTGCATAGAATAGCCATAGCATTTCATACCTGGAATGCTCTCAGTGACTGCAACACTGCATTCTCCTGATGGACGTCCCAGTTCACTCGCTCTATGTGCAGGTGGGCGGTTGACAGAAGCCGCTAGAGTTGAATAATCCACACTGGATGTTCGTTTAGGCCATGTTCGCGGTTCTTGAGGAGGTGGCAGGTAAGGATTTTCCGAGTCTCTGCCTGTGTCCAATGAATTAGGGGGCTCCGGTTCTTCTGATGAAACTACAAAGGAACTTTTCGAATTCATTTGTGAAATAAAATAAAATAAAACCGATCGTTCTAATGTAAGTATTGCATATCGGATGTGTGCGCCTCCGGTGGCCGGTTAAACCGGCTGCTTTGCTTATTGATTAGACTGTTCAAACTGCAAATAAAGGTCACCTAGTGGAATGTCACATGATTTTTTAGGTTTCTTGGAGTTTCAGAATGTATATTATATATTTTCAAACACGTCTGAGTTCCGACTGGGCCAAACAATGCACGACACAATAATCTTTATAAGAATAAAAATAGTCCATGGTTTACTCGAGGGCGCGATACTATTAGGCTGCCCAGGCCAGAGCAGGTGAACTTTCTTAGGGACTTCACAGCCCGAGCCTTCGGTTAACCCAAAGCCTGGCCCACAGGGCAGCGGGCCGGTGTGTACAAACTATATCCATTGAGAATCTGCTTCGAGTCCATCAGATCATATGAAAAGCCAATATACGGAGCTATAACCGGGTCTGTGAACAATTTGCGATTCACTAGCGAGATCTGCGATGGAAGTTATTGTAAGTCCTCCACCAGTTTTTAAGGTAATGCGTGGAAGGGTTGTTAAGTTTGCTTAGAATATCTACTAATACAACTTACAAAACACGACCGTTTAATTAGCCATTGTCCGTAAATCCTGTTGGGATGGATGCCGATTGATCGGTTAGCGGCTGTTTATTTATACTTTAGTTCCAACCTCCTAGGGGAGAATAGACATGTTTCTGACAGCTCTTGATACCTGAGGTAGTCGGTACGTCAGAAGTTACGACATAGTTACGTGACTTGGCAATCTACTATGAGTCACTTGAAAATTCCTACCCGAATAAGAAGGGTAAATTCTCCTGCCTTATTGAAGTAACATCACTTAAATGTCCCAAAATGTAGTGTTATAAATCCACAAGGCGGTGCTTAGTCAAGGAAATTCGCTTATTACAGATAGGATATCAATCAACAATTTGGCATATATGCAACAGACCTCTCATTTCAAACATGCGAGGAATGGAGCAGTCCGTAGTTATTATTTGAGGCGCAGCAAGTCACCCTCAGTGGTCTTGTTTATTTTTGATCGTTGAAGGAAACCGCCAAACGCACTACTTTGCATACTACTCACATATGTGAGTAGTATCTCACAACAGCAGGTTTTCCCTTACTGTATGACCCAGGATTTTTGTTACGCAATCATGGAACTGACATTTTTGCCCGTACTCACGCATACTTAGTCACTTTCTTCCGTGTTTATTGAATGAAATCGACCCAAAGTATAACATAATTACAAACGACGCGAGCTGAAGCAAGACACTGTCTGCTTAGAGGAAGTCTTACGTCCTCATGCTGTCTTCGCCGAAAAATGATCGTTTTTTCTTGAGAATGAGCGACCTGTTGTGTTTTCAATGAATCGACCGCTGGGAGTCTTTGCGCTGGTTTTCTTTGTCTCTAAGGGACTGGTAAAAAGCATTATGACCCTCAATCACAGTTTGAGTAGTTTCTTCGCATGGTTTTAGTTCCAGTATACCTAGTAAAATATTGTAATTTTGAAGCTTCCGCATCCGTTTATGAGATCATGAGTTGGCTGATCCATAGAATGATAAAATGTGACTATATACAAATGCACTTTCACTGGCCTATTACTCTGGGACTCCGTTCCAATTGTCCACTGTACCACTGCTCTAAAACATTATTACCGATAGTGAAAGTTTTATTATAAATTCGGTATCGTTGGTTAAGATTCTTGCAGATTTCTGTTTCGGGTTGCCTGTTGAATATGGCGATTAACCTGACAGAAGTTGGCCAAAAACCTTGATTCTAAGCCAATCAAGGGGAGACGAAAGAACCACACCGTCTTGATTATAGTAGTGGTCACCGGCTCGATTGGGTATCGAGGTGTATTGGGCACCTTGCATGTTCGACTCCATCCAACGGGTGTATGATCCGACGAAGGGGATAGCGGCCCTCAATGGAACGCGGTTTTCACACACCGCCCCGCTGCCTTTCGGGTCTGGCTTTGACTAGTCAACGGCTCCGGTTGCGAACTCCTCAAGGAAATACGCCTGCCTTGGTCTAAGCAACTTGATGGTATCACTCCTACAAACAAATCATGGAAATTTCTCTTCAAGAAGACTATTGTACTATGATTTATTTGGCACAACCTGGATTCAGAAGTGTGTGAAATACAGTACAATACAATGAATTAGACGAAATATTCAGTCGAAGATAGTACTCAACCTTCTACCAAACATTATTTCAACAGAAGATTTCCCCTCGGGTATGTTTACCTAAGGTAATTTGCAGTAGCTCAAGTGAATTAGTCACGGTGTCTCTGTCGTTGAAGATCCTTTTTTTTAATTTTAGTGCCTGTTAGATAAACCACTGAATATAACCTGCGGGCGAACTCACTTTTAAGGTAATTCCCCTATTGCTACAAACGTACAACACCATCTGGTCAAAACATTTCCATGATGTGTTCTCTAGCACTCGTTGTCAACACACCAAAGACCAACCAACAAGATCACCACATTCTGAGTCAAAACCTACCTTCAGTCGATAGCTAGTGCTAGCATCATGGAATGTGCATTAACAAGGGTATGTTACACGACGAATCATTTTACTGTCACAACAACCACAATAAAACAAGATTCCGCAAGACTCTTTAACGTGTCCAAATGTTCTCGGCTTAATTAAGAGGGACCACAAGGAGAGTCGCTATGCTCAGTTCATGCACTAAACCGGAACACACTCTAAAGAAACATTTTAGCTGAGACAGTGTCTGACAGGAGATTTGTATGGCGTTGGATTTTGTGATTTTGAAACACCTGAAAAAAACTTCCTTTGAATAGTAACGGAGCATACGACAACTTCTCAGTGCTTTGGGGTTTACGGTGTGGGTGTTAGGAGCACGCAGACTGTGAACACGAGTCCAACAACCGATCAGCCTTTCACATATACACGCAACTGACAGTAATCGTGTTGTCAGTATGATTGGTTCCCATCGGTGCATTTACAGTAGTTTTCGATCAAAATATCCCGTTCTTTGTGTTCATTGACGCCAAAACAACGTTCGAGTAAGTGGAAATCCATCGAGCGAGCTTCTGTTCAATTTTGACGCAAGTCGCTGGTTCTCCCCAAGGACTTTTCTGGTTCAAACTAACTCAGCTGGGTCAAGACTAATTCGTGTCCGAAATAGGGACACTGTCCACCGTCTCCTTCGATAAAAAGACATGGCAGTATTGGTTCATCATACGATTAACTGATGTCTCAATCTCGGCAAACTTACTACATGATTATGATCGGCAAAACATAGAACTAAGTGTCTCAGTGCGGTGTTTAATAAGGTCTTTGGATGAATAAATGCGCATGTGCCATGGAATTTTCTCCGGGAATTCGGATAAAGTTGATACAGACTGCAGACTGACGCCAAATGGCCATCGTTCTCTTTCTAACCCTGTGACAAATCAATACACGACCTCATACGCATATTGCTTTTCCCTTTCAGTTCCACGCATCCACAGATCAATGGTTTTCAATCCACCCAACGATTAGCATATGGCAAAATGTTCGACCTTAACATGATTCGTGCGAGCACTGTTAGTAATCACGAAAAACGATTATTTGTATTTTAATCGAAAGAATGTTGATGGCATGTTGAATTACATCTCGATAATCCCGTGACCGAATCACGACAATAAAAGCGCACGAACAAACACCTTCATAGTTACGTCACAAGAGAGGTTAATGTATTTTTCTGCTCCGCGGAAGTCAATAAACACTTGATGAATACAGGCTCTGGACTGATCGATGCGTTGGTGGTGATACATCAATACAGGTGTTGATTAGTGAAAGCCATTCGAATTTGAAGTTAATGTTTGAATACAGAATGCGACCTACACTTACACTGAGATCGACAAAGTTCAACATTCGGTTTATTACCCGCAGTATACAACTTCCAATGTGAGTGAGGATTGGAATCGCTGGTAGTTGTAATCGACCTAAAAATGAATTCAAATAAAACTATCGTCTCCTGTTTCCCTTAAAATTTGAGGGTCACTAATACCAAACGAGATGAAGTTATCAATCCATACACATATCTTTGCCGTATTCAAGTCTCACCCTAAATTTGTCTACGTTAACGGGTAGGTTAGGCAATATCTGTAAACCAATATATATATCACCCGTTCCGGCCCAACGCATCGTCAGATTCCCAAACGGCGAAGTTCGATTCTCAGTTTCACTGCTGCGACACAACCAGCAGTTAGAAAGTACCGATCATTAGCGCTGATTTATTGAAAGTGAGATGTCCAACAGCTAAGAGTACCGACTTGATATGCGCAACTAACCGCTTGTTCACAAGACTAAAGAGGAAAACACAAGTGGAACGGAAGAGACAAGTTCAGTTCAACAGAAACTAAAACAGCACAGGTAAAATATGGATAAGCAAGCGACTACTCTCGAGTGAGCTGGTGATTGTAAATCACATATTAGGGACGGGTTGTGGATGAGACGAATGGCCTTGTATTGATCCCGATCAAGAAGAGACGGAGAGATGGAAGAGGCCTCATCACAAAAATGACTGCAGTATTCAAATGTGGGGTGAATCTGAGCTTTGTAAAGCCAGAGGTGAGTGGGGGCGAATAAATATTTGGCCGGGGCTTTTAGGAGAAAGGGACATTAAAGAGAACACGATTACAACGGTCCCAAACAGATAGAAGATCACGAACAGAGTTAAGGAAGACACTGAGAGAGTAGTTACTGCTAATGTTGAAGCTAGCTGAGCCATGAGATGAATAGGATCAAATAAGAGCACAAAGCGGCGTCGCCGACAAAGTCAAGAATATGATTGAAAGTTGGGGACAGGTCATCAATGTAAATCAGGAAATGTGGATAGCAAAGAACCTTGAACGCAAGCATTCACCGATACGGAATGAAGCATGGTCCTGGGGATAGTGGACATGGTAGACAGAACTTACGAATCTCGTATTACGCGTGGCCCTTAGGTGTCTCGTTGCCCAAGGTAGACAATAACACAATTGCTTATCGCCAACGGTTATTGGTCTATCGTGGTACTGGAATATACCGAATACGTGCGTGTGGGATAATTACACAATGCAAGCAAATAAATGCAACAGCAACGCGAAAGCGTATCATGCATGTTGCATGGATTGAAACGGGAACTAGCTTATACATACAACTGAGTGGAGCCTCAAGCTCAGTACCGCAGTTAGTGACAGTCAATTCTGAATGAAACGTGAATTTAAAATATCACCGTGGATCGCTCCTTTTCTTCCTACAATCAACACCACTACAGCCCCATCCACTAGGACAGAGATGCTGCGATCGTTGCGATAGCTTGCCTTCCAGGTCACAAGTTCTGAAAGAGAAGCAAACTTCAGCCGTTCAGTGTAAGCAACACCGATATACTGAAGCAGAAAGACACCTCCTCAGAGTATTTACTCGCAATGGCTACACCTGTGACTTCATCAAAAGAAATCTAACTCAAAGAAAGAACGAAAGAAAGAAGCAACAGACGGAGAATCGGGAACAAGAACGACCCTACCATACACCAAGGATGTTTCGGAAATGACAGCAAAACTGCTCAGATCATATGGAAACCAAGTCGCCCACAAAATAGCCGCCTGTTTAACGAGACTTCTGTCTAAACTAAAGGACAGAACAATGGAGAAGGACAAGAGTAGTGCTATATACAAAATAAACTGCAAGAACTGCACAAAACACTACGTCGGACAAACTGGAAGAAAATGAAGCTGAGAATTCATCCATTAAGATGAATAAAGTGATCTTTGACCTGACTTGAAGGATCCGTGAACACCAATCGGCAGACAGGAGAAATGAACGGGTCAAGCACAACACTGTCACTTCACAAGCCCTGATGATGTCGCCTCGGCTAGTAGTGAAACGTTTGCAAACAATTTGCCAAGCTCGGCGAACAGGTGAAATGCAATAATACGATTATTTATTCACACACCTCTTAGATAAGATAGGAGATTGAATATCTCATTTTTATGAATAGTAACATCATCATTTTTTTGCTAAAGGTATCCGCTGTGTTTGGACATGAGGATGATGACGTGGCATATTTCATAGTGATATTTCCCCAGCATTGAACAATTTCTTTGCGACCGGCAGTAGGTGAATGACCCTTTGATCATAAAAAACACGTCCGGTCAATCAAACCAATCAATTGCTCAAACGCAGATATATTCAACGCTGCTGCACTGGATACGCATAGGATAACGTGGCAGCCACGAGAATGAAGGAATCGACCAGATGTTTCATATCAATTATCAATTTTAGTTGTCAAAATGAGAGAGAATATCCATACTAGTGGACGAGCTAATCGAAGCTGATTGTGTGTGAAATACCAGAGAGTGATAGTTTCATCTGTTACATCACCGACAACAAATCATATTATCGGATAGGATTTAAAGCTCATTGCCGATATCATAGTATGTTGACCAATTAGCACCTGAGTGCATTTGGACTTAGGTCACTCAAAGTCAGAACTGAATGAACAAAAGTCTCAATCACCGAGATTCCTATAAACATTTTTCTTGCTCAATAGATATCTTGAAGAACGGGATAACGGATCAAAATTTAAAAAAAACACGAAAAATAGACAGAAAAACGGTTAGAAAACTTTAGTTTTTGGTTAAACGACTTATACAACTTT